TGAATAAAAGGAACCACAAAGGATCATGAGCAGAATGTGGGGAGAGGATCCAATAAACTCCCATTTGTCAATTTCACCATCTCACTGTATAACATCTTGAAATCACACTTGTCAGCTTTCTTCCCTATTTCAGTGCTTACTTTGACCCCCGAACTCCAAAAGTGGCGAAATAACAAGATGGTGCTATTGGGGTGGTAAGGTGTCATTTTTGTGTAAGTATGGGTATAACCATTGCAGGAGTATGGGTGTACTTACTCAGCAAATTAATTATTTTTATTTATTTTTATTTTTCTGTTCTTCAAGGTATATTGTAGAGCAGCAAATGTGTGAACTTCTGAATGATGGAGCAGGGTGGACCCTGAATCCATTTGCATTTTTAGAGGAGAGTAAGTTTGTGAATGCAAAAATTGCATAGGAAAAGTATAACAATTGGAAGCTGGAAAAGTTTTCCTCCCTACAAAAGAGCAGAAATCTAACAATTAAATAAGTTGGGTTCCAACAGACACTGGGATATGTGCAGGGAATGGGTTGAAGAAGTAAGAGGTTCATCTTCTCTTCTTTCCAAGCAGGGCCATACAATGACTAAAGCTGACTTTATTGTGTTAAAGCTGACTGTTTGGGATTTAAAGGAAGGAAACTAGTTAACACACTTGATTTGGAGAAATGAGACCTAATGTTAAGCTGATTCCAGGCTGAATACCTCTTCTTCCTTCAAAACTGAAATTACCAAATCATACCTTCAAGGGCCAATCACTTGGATCATCTGATAGTTCTCAGCTGGTCTATCCCCATCACCTGACAGAATACCCTGGGAATAATGATGCTTGGTTTGACTTCCTCATCATTAACATACTCACTAAGCTTTCCAAGTGTATTTGAAACTTGTTCGCAATAGTTTCCTGACTTATCTCTCAGGTATCTGGCTTGGAATTTTAGTTGAAAATTTCAAATTCTCCTCTTCTAACGCAGAACCTGCTCAAGCATCCCTTAAAGGCTCTTTTGTAGGAAGAATGGGACCAATATCTTCTGGGGTAAACAAGCCACAGCAAGACACAGACCTGCTAATTGTGGGTTAGCAAGCAAACAACCAAGCTATTCAGGATAGCTTATTGTGGAGAGCAAACCAGCCCAATAGGTATAACTAGCTTAGCAGTTGGCATTTGGTTCCCTTCCTTTTCCTTTGTATCCCTGTCCATCACTAGCACCAGATACTTTTACATCCTTCTCCTTAGTGATAACTCCAGATACTACTCTGAAGCCTTGTAACTAAGCCCACAAAAATTACTAGTTGGCAAAACCAAACAAACCCACAACCACCCTGATAACCAACAGAGGAGTGACTGGGAGCTGCATTTCTATGCTGAATGCATATTGGCAAGAGGGAGGCTATCTTTCTCTAGCATTCTGCTTGTTTTCTGTGTTGGCCACACTCCATTCTTCCTCTGCCAGCCTGTTCACTCACCTTCATACAATTCCTTGCACTAGGCTGCCTGTAATTCCTGGTTCCCTATGGCTACAAGTTTGACATTCTATCTTATCACAGGAAAGGAAGTTGATAAGGTGAAGCATGGTTGATTCTGGCTGACCCTTTATTGTAGTTCCACCCGTGGAGCCAGGTATGAAGCTGCAAGCAAAAGAGAAGCTACCATGTGGGCAAAAGGAGAGAAACGAAGAAGGATGTTAGGGTATAGTAGCAGATTACAGTTTGAAGGAAGAAACTACACAGGATGACGAACTGTTCCAGAGGGTTGATTCAACATTTCTATTGCTAGATTCTAACCGAGCTAGCATTCTAGATGACAACCACTTACAGCTGATGAGCTTTTAGACCAGGATGGGCAAATGCACAATGTCCAGGGGCCATTTTTACTCCAGAGACCTCTCCTGTGGTCCACACTATTGGGGTACTGTGCAGTTTATGTGGCCCCCCCTCTCTTTCTCACACACACACACTTTGCCACTGAAATTTAGTCATATGCTGCTCCATAGTGTCTACAGAAGGCCAAAGTGGGCCAATTTAGCTTGCAAATAAACTAACTTGGACCCTTTAACACTTTGTAGCACTAAAAATAAATAATAAAATCCAGCTCTGCCTCATTTGGCAGCATAACGGTTGGCCACACCAGGATGCTGCTCATAACCATATGCCTTCATGTTCTCCATCCATCTTAGACTGTTGAGAAATGTATGGCATGGTAGCACAATTGTATGCATAGCATTGACAGATGCAGAGGACAATTGAATTAAACAGAGGTATTATCTTAAAGTGGCACTAAAGATCTCTCAGTGAACAATGGAAGAATATGGCTCAGTTTTACATCTTCACAGAAGTATACTCAAAAGACTGATGCATTGTTTTCTTGAATGTAAAGCATATATTGTCTTGAATGCAATGTTTTGTAGGGAATAAGTCATTACCAGTGGGTTCAGTGAGAAAGGTATAATTTTTAGCTTTCATATATTATAAGACAAGTGGGTGGCACTGTGCTTCTAGCAGAGAAACTTCACCATAGACATGAGGGAAAAGGGGACCTTATTATGATCGGCAGTGTGGCCATAATTTGGACTGCTTGTACAATGCCATGCACAATTACTTCTTATTTGCAGCTCCACTAGTTATACCTTCTCCAATTGCTTTTCCACAGATAGGAAGGAATGAGTACAGGGTAGAAAGGAAGGAAGAAGAGAACAGAAAAAAATTACCCTAGAATGTCTGGGCCCAGACATACTAGCAACTCTCAAGCTTTAGTACTCCCATGGAGTCCATTCATCCGCAAACAGAATTGCTGAAAACATAACCAAATCTTCATCTGCAGGTTGCTGATATTTATACATGTTGTACATGTAAGAAAAATGAATTATATTTCTACCAATGAAAATCAAACACATTTCACCGAGAACATGTTGCACATAATAATCCCAGCTGATGTTTTTAGATACAATTAAATTTTATTCTAACACTTTGACAGAGATTTCAAATTCCTTTAGAAATTGTGGAAAGACATACTTATGGGTACAGAATACCCACACAGAAACTTGGCTTCTAGGATAAAATTTATGACAAAACACGATAATCCTTTTGTGAAAAGCTGGGCAATATTGAGATGAAAAAGGGTGATCATTGCCCAACCAAAAAAACCACAAAAAAACAAAACCAACAACCTGGGAATCTCATTCAACTCGCATTATATTTCCACTAATGTTTTGTTCCCTTGACTTATGAATTTCTTTCTCCATGTTCTACATAAGATTCCAAAAGATGCTTGACTACTTACGTCACTTGGCCTTTAATCTACTTTACCTTGCTTGTGTTGCTCAAGTGACAGTCTACAACCTTTCAAAGTTCTATTGTTCTCATTTCTTTTACAAGAGCCAGATATGAAACTTCAGTACATCAGGGAATACTCAGCTTCCAAACTCTAGCCTCAGTAAAGAAGAGGGCAAATCACTGCTGGAGCAGTGTACTAAAGTGCCAAATGCTATCCTTACCCTCTTTAGGTACCTTTATAGCAACTGTCAACACTCTTTTGTATCATTCTGATCACTTTTCGTTATGTAAAGTTGCAATACTTTCTTTTATCCTCAAGTTGATATCGAAAGATGAAGTCATTCTCAGTATCACTAAAAGCAACCTTACATCCCTTTTAAATGAAAATACTATGGCCAGGCCCTGAGGTTCAAGAAGCATACAAAATACAATGGCTTTTCTCATCCTCCAATTTTTCCACCTGTTCAGAATCTATCAATATGTAGCACATGAGCAATAAAAAACAGTATTATGTTATTTCTTCCCACAGATTCAAATGAGAGCAACATCTTCCTACTAAGAACATTTGGGACAATGCTCCCCTTGTTATTTTTAATGCTATGCATTCCCACAGAAGGAAGTACTTTGTGCATGGATGTTGGGCTTAATTGCAGCTAGTGATGTCACTAAAATTAATAATAACCTGTTTTGGAGGCTACAGATAGTCCAGTGCCAAATGCTTGGCTTTATTATAAATCAGGATCATTTCCTTCAAATATTTTTCTTTGGCTTGGACTTGAACATGAATGTAGACATCTGCCTTCCTTCCTTCCTAACTTTCCAAGTACTTGGAAACACAGTTTTGTAGAGTGTTGGATATTGGATGCTCTGGAAACTTGGCATCCCAAGTGTATGCAGCTTCAGAGAGGTCAGCAGGAAAGGTTTCTTGCAACTACTGTCACATTCTTGTGCAAGTTTGAAGGAAGGGAAATAGGTGGTAGAACACATTTGTACTGCTCCCCATCAAGGTCATGATAGTACCATCAGGAATTCTAGGAGGTTCAAATTCATTACAGGGATCAGAAAGAAAAAAAAAATCTTGTTTTCTAATTCTGGGGGGAAATAATCCATTTCTTGAGCTAAATTCCAGACACAAGGAGATTTTATTAATTTAAACCTAAACTAAACCTTCACATTTTGAGTATAAGCTATTGAAATTATACTTCATTATGTACTTGTTATGAAATTGTCCTAACTTTTCTTCAGAATGGGTAAACACATTGGTTTTTATCATGCTTTATTGTGAACTGTTATGCATATATTGTATATGCATATATTGCATATACATAAGCAAATTGTTGATTAGAAAGCTACTTAAGTAAAGCATACAACAGTCCCCAAATTTTGTTATAGCAGAATGCCAGTTATCATAACAGAATCTGAAACATGCTTTGAATGTTATGGGCAGTATGCAATGCTGCTACTGTTCCTCTGCTCATTTGCTGTGTCAGTGAGACCTGATGCTAATGCAACAGGGAATTACTGCTGCCTTAAGCAACCCCACAGACAAAAAAAACACAATTATCTGCATCAAGACAGGTCAGTGTACCTCCTTTTTGCAAGTTGTACTGAAACTAGCACATATGCTCATTTTGGTTGGTTTATTAACTTCTAGCTTCCAGTTGTGCACATGGGCGACACTGGGTACTGCCACACACACACACACACACACACACACACTTAAAAGGCTTACCACAGACAGTGAATTTGAAAGCAGTGTTCCATCTTGGCCAAGCATATTGGAGACAGTGATTTCAGGTAGTTCCATGTTTTGTGGATGGAATGGAAGTAGACCATTATGGTTGATAGGATGACACAGTGAAGGATAACCAGATTCTGTGTCATTCAAATGCACCAGTGAGTGGTCAGGTAATGAAGGTGGTGTGATAGGAGGTATGTTAAAATCTTCACTTTCAAGACTTGGGCCAGGAAAAGACTGTGGAAAGATGAAAGGTAGAGTTTCAATTAAAATATATTACACTGGGTCCTTCAGATAGGGTAGGATAAAAACAACCAACAATGTAATGCACTAAGAAAGCAATGTTATATATAGTCAGAAAGAAGAAAGTTCTGCAACTCTCAGTGTTCTCCCACTAGCCATGCCTTCCACAGCGTGCCAGCAGGACAAACTTTGTTTTGTCTAAACATGCATAGGATTGTACCCTTTAGTCTCAAATAAAATGGCCAGACTCCTTTTGCAACTCAATAGATAGCACTAAACAGTGGCTTCTACTTGGCACAGGAGAGACCATTTTAAACACTGCTACATTAAAACAATTGTGCTGCTATGTATGGCATATAAGTGGCCTCAAAGGCATAAAATCTTTGATATTTTCACAGCTTCCATTAGACAGAAATCCCAGCACCCCAACAGCTGAATTGAATGGCCCCATTACAATTTTCTAAGAGTCTTCAACAGGATGAATACCTTTTTCATGGGAACTAGGGAATAGGAATGCAATTTAAAAAATTAATATTGGATTTAAAAAAAAACCCTCATAAGACTCTCTGCCACTCAAGAGCAAAAATAATGGTAGCGGGGGTGGTGAGGTGGAATCTTGTTCTTGAGTGTTGCTCTAAGGCATACACAAGAATAACACATTAATCCTGCTACTGCTAGAAGCAGAAAATTAATCTAGAAATATATTGCACTGCCTGAAAATACACCAGGGTCCTGATTTGGCTCTACTCATGTCAACAGACACAAATCTCAGATTACAATGTAGCCAGCTAGTATCTAGCACCTGTTTGGGAGAACATATGTGAATAGTATTGATTGTACCAATCAGTGCTGACTGAACAAGTGAGTGGTACTGATAGCACCTGCTGTTTTGAACAGCAGGAAACATGCATGCAGCTCAATAAGCTAGATGCAGCCTGGACCTATTCACATAGCATCCGTTTACACACATGGCCCAGAATACCAAAAGAGAACAAATGTGCACAGATAACTACTTCCATGCATGCATTACTTAACTGGATCAGGTTGCTCATTTGTGACCGCATTCCAAATGACAATACAAGGATAAACTATGTATTATTTTTTACATTCAAATTAATGTAAAGTCATTCACCTAAATGATAATTTGATTGCTTAATTTTCTATTTTCTGCTGACTGGTAGTGTTAATTAGGCAGATGGTAAATGACCAACAGAAGTAGGGTAGTAATTTTCTAAGTGAGCCAACTGAATTATGCTGGATGTCAGCAGAGAAAATGTCTATAGAAAATTGGTTGGTGGCTGCTGAGGCTTCTGCTTCTGTGTCTCTTCCTTCTTCTCCTTCTCCAATGTTCTTAATAAATTGTATCCTTTTGATTTTCACCAGCTTTTTGTTCTTCTATAAAGTATTCTTAAAACTGAACTGTTAAAAGGACTAGTAGGGGATATGTCTGTGTGTGTGCATGTAGATGAGAGTAGATGAGAAAGTTCCCTGTGCCAGTGTTAAAAAAGCATCATAAAATTTAAATTATCACACCATTGCATGCACATATACTGAAGCAATCTTGAAAGCAACAAAATGTTCTTGTATGGTTTCAAAAAGCATAACACAAAGGGACAATTTGGGACTTGCCTAGAATCTGTTTCTTCTTAGACTCTTGCTTTTAATCTGCCTGCTTTGTCCCTACCCTATCCAGCACAGATTGTGACTGAGGAGAAACTGCCGTGAGTGCATCACTGAATCTGCAAAAGGTCATTCCCCTTCCAAGACTTAGAGGAAAAGCTGAGGAAGCTCACCTGCTGAAACAAAATGCTACAGAGCTAGCTCCCGAGCATAGCGTTGATAAACCAGGGACTTACAAGAAACATGGCTGGTGCTTTATATGATGGATATGGGGTGGGAATCAGGCAGAGCAAAAGACACTGAGTGCTTACAGACTGGATCAGTTGATATACACACAGTAATGTTCAGGGTACATGCAAGGTAACTTTCCTGCCCCACCACCCCAACAAGACATCAGAAGATCCAAAATTCCTTCCAAGAGTGTAAACAGATCTATCCAGCACACAATAAAAGAAGAAAGGTACATTTGTGTTTTCAGGAAAGGATATCTTACTATAGACCACTTCTGGAAGAGAGATACTCTGCAAGACTAAAAGTTCCTTGGAAAATTCTCTACACTCTGAACACTGGGACTACTTTTCTGTGCTATAAGTTAGGAAGAAAAGCTTCAGATGCACCTATCAATTCCACCCTCTTTCTTTCTAAGAGGGAGCTTTTGGATTTGATCAGGGCAAATCCTTGGTTGAATTGTCAGGGGTTCCTAGTGATAAACTGTATGCAGTGCACTATGTTGTTTCAGTGGCCTGCCAATTCTTACCCAAAGCATCACACTAGCACAATGAGGACAAATACCTCAACATTTTTCTTCTTATTGAAGAAATATCATGAAAACACCAAAAACAGATCTTAGCAGCTTTGCTCTGTATGACAAAGGAGAAAGAGGAGAAAATGGTCTTTTCTGTTATATGCTTTTACTTAAACTGGCTGTTGGCACTATTCAACAAACCAAACCGAATATTTTAATGCTCCCCAGAAAGCTAATCTATTGGATTATCCCACTATTTCTTTGTGCCATATGACTTAATAGCAGAGGTTTGGTTCCAGGGAAACACAAACAGTGTTGAATTCACTTAATCAGGCTTTCCCATCCCTTGGCCACATTGCAGTCCACTTAGGCTTTTCTGAAAGTTCTACTGTCTAAAGGCATTACACATTGTCTTGATGGCTATTTAGCAAATGAGGGAGTGTATAAAGATTGGTAAAGAAATTCAGGAATGAAATGAGATGAAGACTGAGGGGATGCATCAGGAAGGGGAATTGATAGAATCCAGAAGTGGGGTACTCACACAAGGCCCTTTTTTGCTCCAGCCCAAAGCTATCATTTTCTTTGGTAATATATTTTTTGTCACGCAAGACTTGCAGTTTCCTAAAGACATTTCAAACATTTGTTTTCTAAGAAAATGTCAGAGTTCAGTATGTAGTTCAGCTCACCATTGTAAGTGAAAACACTGATCTGGCTAAGTAAGAGCCATGATGGTCTGAATTATGGTATTTAATTGGACTATAACATATGTCCCGACAACAGTGCAGCTAAATCATGAAGCAGAAGCTCACCTTTCCCCTTTGGATTTCATGGCAATGGACTTCTTTACTTTGCTGCAGTCTGTTCAGTTACACTTCAAGGTCATACTACCTAAGACGGGATGGGATGTATATGAGCATGCCCGCACATTGAGTGTGAGAGTTTGCAAAGAAGCTCGGACCTTTTGCAGACCTCAGTGTACTCATATCTCTGAGCTGGCAAGACATGCTGGACAGCACACGTGGGGCATGAGTGCTCACATATATTCCATCACAATTTCCCTATGCATGAAACAGGGTGATGTCTGCATAGGGCTGATGCCTGTACAGCTTGATGGCTTGGCTATCTGCTCTCAATTATCTATTAGTTATTAATATGATTGAATATCATAATAGCCAGTGTGGTGCAGTGGTGAAGAGCGTGGGACTGGGACTCAGATGATCTAGGTTCTAGTCCCTGCTCAGCCATGGAGCAAACTGGGTGACTTTGGGCCAGACACAGACTCTCAGTCCAACCTACCTCACAGGGTTGTTGTTGTGGGGATAAGATGGAGGAGGAGAATGATGTAAGCTGCCTTGAGCCCTTTGTAGGAAAAAGGTAGGATATAAATCAAAAAATAAATAAATAAAAATATGTTTCTATGAAATTATCATCTCAATTGAGGGCAACAGAACACAGACTGATACTCTAATAACAATGGTCAGATATTCAGTATCTTCAGTGACTCAAGTTTCCCATCTCATACACAATTATGCATGCATATATCCCAGTGATTTCACTGGGATTAGCATATATACAGCTGGAAGCAAGAATGCAGTCATAATTTGTTAAAAGAGGGGAAAACTATTTCTGTTCTTCTAGAAATGAGACATAAATTAAGAGCAGTAATTATGAGGATCTTATTTCTAAATCTTGATAACCAATGTTGTTCAATGTTTTTCTAACAAGGTATTAAAAGACTGCATAGATTGAAACTATAATACATTACTGTACAGTTCTTCGATCAGCTATATAATTCATCTTAACACTCAGCAAGGATTGTCCAACAGCACCACTGAGATGTTCAAGTTAATGATCCTGCAAAGAATGTTTTGTATTTCTTTATTGGGCAGACAACAGCAATAAATCACAATCATTTTAAAAATACACAATATATTAATCTATCAAACAGAAGTAATCAAGACCATATTGCTGCAGAAGGTACATTTCTCGCTTGTAATGTTCATCAATTTCTTTAATTCACAATAGATAAAGGGCACTGCTTCAAGCAAAACATTAATTTTCCACTACAAGACCAAGAGAATGTTGACTGAAGTACAACTGATTTTTTTTTAAGGCAGAAATTTCAAAGATTCCCCTTCCTGTGTGAAAGACTTTTACTAATTAAGAACACCACTTAGAATGGTGCAGCCAGAATGGTGAACTGGTTGCAGTGTTGGGCTCTGACTCAGGCTGGGCAATGCTTGGTCATGGAGCTTGCTAGATGACTTTGGCCAGTCACTGACTCTCAGCCTATCTTGCCGCACAGGGATGTTGTGAGGATAACATGGAAAGGGGATGGTTTGGTAAGCCACCATGGGTTTCTTGCCAGAGGAAAAGGTGGAATATAAATAAAATAAAGAAATAAATAGCAATATGAAAAACAAGGCATTTCCTTCACCCATCCATATTAAGGGAAGTTGAAAGTGCCACCATTTCAACCCCTTAGAAACAATTATCTGCTGAGCAAGATGAGCACCAGTTGACCGTGGGCAAGCAGCTAAGCAGCACTACCTCTTTGTGGTCACCACCGCCTTCCCACTGTGAGATTTAAAACTCTTTGAGACAGGATTCGAGTGGGTACAAGCAGTTT